ACCATCGTCATATTCCAGCTCAACTTATTTTCTTGCTAAATGCTGTTAGCATCGTATATGTTTGCTCAGCCTCCACCTCCCTCCTTTCCTGCCTACTCTCCTTTCCTCTTTCCTGCTCGTACCTTTAATAAACACATGGCTGAATGGATGGATGCAGTGCAGAAGGAGACCTATTGTGTTGTTGTAGCCTCCCATTGATTTGCAGATGTGTGGTTGTGTACGAGAAGGCTTTGCAGGCAGACGTCAAGAATGCAAGTTATTTCTCCTTCTGTTGTGCTTTCTTAGCTGTGTTTTATTGTCAAACTATTTATATGATATCCTCTACAAATTAAAGGGGTTTATGGTTCTTTGCATGTGTTCATACATGTATAGAAGAGAATATGCTGCATTCTTTACTCTGACTGGCTAATGTCATGCTGGCTATCAAATGAAGTGAAGGCCTTTACTGCTGCCACTTCAGTGCTGTAAGGAAATGAGTCTTTATTCACTGGCCTACAGTATGCAACCATGTTCCTTTGATCTGAATTTGATGACAGCATTTAATGTTATTTTGTGTGGAGGTTAATATTTATTGATTGGCATACCAATATGTAAATACAGTGAAATACAGTAGATGAGTGTACAGTTGTGATAAAGCACAGTTCACTATTATAACTTTTCAAAATGACTCATAACAACATACTCTGCAGTGTGCTGTCTCTTTTATTGTAGTAATCATTTCACGTTAGTACACCTACGATGAATGTTTTGAGAGTCATACTACTGAAATGAATACGTGATGGTGGAGTGAATGGATTTATTTATTTATTTATATTTCTGACTGTTTTGCTTCAGCGTGTTTACTAGCAGATTTATGTAAAGTGTTGACTGTTTTCTTCCAGAGGAATATGGCTCTGTGGCGTCCACTCCAGACTCAACACCTCCATGCACTGATGGTAGGAAGCACACGTGACACTTTATCTATCCGCTGTGAAACTCTGTCACACAACATTTAAAAATAAGAAGAAGAAGAAGAAGTAGAAGAAGAGATTCCCTCTTCCTGAAACCTTCCTTTTGAAAGTAACATTAAAAGAATACATCTGAACACCTCTCTTACAACTAAAACATAGGCCCTGAACATCCATGGGTAAACACAGCAGTACATTTTGATCACAGCCACATTTTCGAAGGAGAGATTTCATGCACTCTTCAAAGAGGGTTTCATTTACTTTAGATGTCACAGCGTCTTCTCCCAGACATCAAATGACACACTTGGCTGCTTTCATCTGACATGTCGATTGATTAAAAGCAAAATCACTCTTTTTGTATGACACTGAACTAATTTGCATATAGGAAGCAGTAGCCTCTATAATTGAATAGTGCTCATGTGGTCAGAGTTTGACATTTAGTCTCTGTATGTCTCTCTGTGCATTGGGGGTTACCATATTTCTTTGTTTTTGTCTCCATTCAGGCGGAAATGAGGAGTCTGAGATGTACGAGCTGCAAACAGCCAGGGAGTGGTCTGACGATGAGGACGGGGGAGATGGAGGTCCAGATGATGACGAGGGACTGGCTTCATCCCCGTCCATCTGGGGCACGCCACGTCAGAACTCCTTTGAGCTGACTTTCTCTTACATCGCCATCGCCGAGCCAGAAGCGGTGGGAGCATCGCGACACCTCCGTGACCGACGCAGGGGCGGCTCTCGGGGAAGCCGCACTCCTTTGATCCGCACGGACACCCTGGAAACACTGTTGGACTCCCCCGATGTGGACTGGGACCCTCAAGCCTTCCTTAGCCGAGAGGAAGAAGAGGAAGCTTCAGAAAGGAGAGAGCAGGAGAGGGTGGAGGCGAGTGCAGCGGAGAGGAGGGAGCAGCACAGACAAATTGAGACTATTACAGTCCAGCCCTCTCACCAAAATCTGGACCCAGAAACTCAGGGGAGAGACGCAGGAATCCAAAGAGATGAGACCCCGAGCAGTCTGAACCAGATTGATCAGCCTCCCTCTCCGTCCCTGTCTTCCCAGCATCAGACCTCCTCACAGATACTTCAGGGTGAGAAACAGGAGAAATGTGTGAAGAGGTTGTTTTAGTCTGTGTAGTGCGACATATTGGAAGACTAAAAGACGCATTGTCTGGGAATGCTCATGATGCCCCAACACAAAGATGTATTTTTTTATTTTGTTTACTTTGTTCACCTGGTGATAGCTCAGAGGCAGACCTTATGACAAAACATGACTACAAGTGAATGGTGGCCAAAAGTCAGTGGGTTTCTATTTGGAAAAGGACCTAGAGACATTTTATGATCTTTCTGTTCTGGACATGTGTAGTAAATATAGTAATAAATTTAGTATTTAGGTATATGATCAGTGTTCATATTTTCCCATTTCCAAGTAGGTTGTATCACACATTCAATTTGATGTAAAAATGATACGTTGACTAAAACTAAGTTGCTGTCAGCTGTAACTACCACCTGCGACAGTGTGGCTGGTATTATTTTGTGAGAATCTGTGTGTGTGTGTGTGTGTGACGTTATGGCAAAATGTGGTCTTGAAGACACCTATTGTAGCGGGAACTACCCCAGAAGACTTTGCCAGGTGTTTATATGTCTGTCTGTCTGTCTGTCTGTCTCTGGACAGATTGTGTCAACGTGACAACCATGCAAGATGCAGTCATGAAGGTGTGTAGTTGAGACCATGATTAGTGAATACTCAGGTAATAATGTAGGAATAAGTACCGTGTACTCATGGATCGGAACATCAACATGTTAATAGGTTTCGCAGCTTGTGTGATTGCATCGCAAGATGGCCTCTAGCTTTTTCAGTGTGAGTGTTTTTAGCTGTATCATGAGAATAAAAGCAGGAGCCCAAATTATTTATTATCAGCCTTTTCAGACGGACAGAATTTATTTGGACTCATTATTTTACTCCAGAAAGTCATTCCCAATATCTTATGGTCAGTAGCTTGTCTACATAACTTCACATCAATATCTAGTTTATGAAAATGGTAAAAAAGTAAATCAAAACATAGGTTGACAATGTTAAATCAGCCTTAAATTCAGACTCTTGCAACAGATATTATACTTTGTAATAATAACTTACTAGCTTGTAAATATAAAAGTCAGAACCACAACACAAATGTTGCAGTCCAAATACTGTGGCACGTTGTGGTTGTATAAAATACAATTTAATATCTTTTGTCAGTAATTTTGTGCTCAAGCTGAGCATGTGCAACAAGTCACGGGTGATGTCATCATCATAGTGACGTCATCTTCTGTTTCCCGGTAGCAACAGCTTCACAGACCCCCGAGCCAGAGTCCCCAATCACAAGGGAAACCATTTCAGTCAAGCTGCTCACATCTGTGCGACCCAGAGATCCAGCGTCCTCATCATCAGCTGCCATTGGTCTGAACTCTCAGGAACAGCTGGTCAGCGATCACTGGTTTTCAGCATATAACCTATCAGAGGACCCAACAGTATGCACCCACATAGCAGGTACAAGATTCACATCTTTAAATGTTCTCACTCTTCTGACCACTGTCGTCCCATCTCCCTCCCATCTGTCTCTCTTGGTCTTGTTGCTGAGCGAGATCCTTCCATTGTGCTCGTTAATCGATACTTTAAAGAAGGTAAATATCAGATTTCGCTTTCAGCTTGGACCTTCAAGAGCAGGCAGACAAAGATAGATCCCCCCTCCCCGCCGGAAGTCCTGGCTGTTCATTGTGTCTCCATGGTAACCCTCTCTCGGGATTTCAGGAATGATTGGCTAATTGTGGAGAAAACATTCCTGGCATTTGCTTACTTTTTGGACTCACACGCCATCACTGCTGATGTCAGAGTGTATCACTGTTTGATACACACACAGAAAGAGAGACAGGTGTGTGTGTGTGTTTGTGCAGTTTGTTGGTGCTTTAGGAGTGAGTGAGACACAGAGAAAGATAACATCCTGTCTTCCAGTTTGATGGCATTTTAAGTGGACCTTCAGTCAGAGTAGAAGTCTTATTTTAGTGGAAATGGGGGGCCAGTAAACCCTCAGACCGTTGATGAATGTGTGGTCAGGCTGATGACAGAGTTTAGGGTGCCGTGAATAAATAGCACACATGCATCTATTGGGGTATCATATTTCTTCTGGATTTATTACTTGTCTCAGGGGCTGCAGTAGTAGTAGTAGTAGCGAAAACCGTCAAATATCAAAAGCTGGCATAGAATGAGTGGTCAGTTTTGATTCTTACTTAATCTTTGATCAAACCGTTTCTGAATCATAGTACACGTTCTTGCACAGTTAATTGTGTTTAGACAACATTTAACATTTGAAAAGCTTCTTTTGTTAAATGAAAAAGGTTGTGTTTTTTTTTAGAACAACAAGGCAATTTAAATTATACCAAACCCTACTTTTTTGACTATATGCAAGGTATTGTGTAACCTAAATACATATGTTTCAGCAGTTATCTGCAGACTAATATCCTGATGTTGAGATCAACAGATAATGTAAGAAAATATATGATAAAAAGCCCATTACTTAGTTAGCCAGGTTTCTGAATCGCTACCAGCATCTCCAGATTTTTCCACAATTCAAATATAGTGTATAAATCTTCTATGGAGTTTTTACAACAAAGTAAGCTTTATTTTCAGCATTTTAGCTTTATAAGAAAAGTGAATTTATCCCCAGAAAAAGCCACTAATATATTATGTATGATAAGTATTCATTATCAGTAGTGGTGGCACAGAAAGCTTTGGCTTGGTGACATAACAGAAAATAAATCCTGGTTCTCTTGTTTCAGGTGTCAGATGGCACATGACTATGAACAAAACTCAATATAACTTGAGTTCAAAGGAATACCTTGAATTTATTGTGTCAGAATTGGCTTTTGCTTTAAGGAAGAAGATCTGGTGATTTTGAGAGCATTGTGTGATTGTGTTGTGAATAATCAAATATGTATGAAGCTCTTGGAGTCTCGAAGAGTGGTGGGCGGTGCTGTGAACAAGATTATTTTGGGCTGTCAGGCCTTTGGACTGCTGAGCGAGCAGGGGTTGGCCAAAAACAGCTCAGAGGGACGAGCAGAGCACAACAGGACCGAGAGGGGGACAGAGGGACTTGGGGGAAACTGGAGCAACAACCAATATGGCCAGTAAAGGTGAGACCGTGGGGGATAGGATAATTTGAGACAGCAGAGTCCAGCTAAGTGGACGATGTTTAGGTACTTGTTTACAGTCATGAGCTGACAGTCAGCTACTGCAAAGAGCTGTGTTTGATCATTCTGAAAAGAAAAAGTAGAAGAAACCTATAGATTCAAGCATGAAGAGGTGGAAATCACTAGGGTTCAGTAGTGGGCTGTAGAGTTTGTGACTTTGGTGAGAAAGCCAGGGAATTGAAATCAGGGGACTGAAGGTGAGAATTGAGCGGATAACTCGCTTCTCTTTGATCATTTTACAAGCAGAGTCTCTGGAGGTGGCGGCTTCCTTTAGCTGAAGGAGTGTTTGGCTTCTGACTGATGAGCTGTTCATTTATAGCAGTCCATATCAGTGACCTTAAATAATTACCAAGAGCAATTCAAATGAGTATGATCTGTCTTGTGGTATACTTTTTGCTATTGTAGTGTGTAATAACTTTGCCAATGGGCTTTCCTCATTAAGCTGAAGAGCTGGCATGAGCAGAGACATTTCAGACTGTAGTACTACAAGATTTCCTGGACGCATGTGATTAAGCTAACGTGATGTGGGTCAAATGAAATGGATGTTGATGAGATGATGTCAGACTGGGTTAACAAAGTGTGAATAACACATGATTTATGTTATTAGTTCGGCTGGATTATTGAATCCTTCATGCAGTCACTACATCAATACTCATTTATTTAATAAGTAACTTAGTTGAACGATTAGTACAAATTCTGCTGGTTTAGACTGGATTATTGTGGTATAGAGAATGTCTTAATATTTTATCCCAGAAGCTGAAGTGTGGTGGAGAGTGGATGATCACTGAGTTAGCTGTATCATAGTATCTGCTGACACATATTGAAGTTAATTAATGTTAGGACAACAGATTTAGCAGAGGTAAGTTATAGATGGCAATATAAAGAAAAAACTCCCACTTAAGGTCACCTAAAGGCTGCAATGTTTATTACACCCAACAATACCAGCAAAGTGTTGTAGAATAAAATGCATGTTTTCTCCCACAAGTTGTAGATTATGGAAGCCTTACTCGGCCATCCATTCGAATATATTTCTTACTCCATTTTCCCGTGATAATGGGCTAATTTTCTTGAGATCTCAAGATAACGAATGTTATTTTCCCGTGATAACGGGATAATTTTGTCGTGATCTCGAGATAACAAAATAGTAGTTTAACAGGTGTCTGCAGGATAGTTTCTTAATAATAATTTCAAAAGGGTTTCCAGTGTCACTGGTTAGCTCAGTTGGTAGAGGACAGGATACTCAGTCAAAGGGTTGTGTGTTCAATCCTCAATAAGGCAAATTTCTTTTCTTTTTTATAATCCGCTTCAACAAGGTTGTTGAGAAGAGACTGTTTCATATGTTCACAATAAAGCATGTGCTGGCCTGTGTGCGTCCCGGCAATTGGTCCAAGTCCATCAGCCTATGGACTTTTCATTCACCCATCATTCCCAGGCAGAGGAAATTCCTGCACTTCTTATTCAGGGGAATCCATTTAACAATACACATTTCCTGACTGTTTCGGAACTTTTGAAATAGCCGTTGGGAAATGTGTGATTGGATTCCCCTGAATCTCTTCTTTGTTGAAGAGGATGATAAAAAACACACAAAAGAAGAAAAAAAATCATGTTTCATGAGTTGAACATGCAATCTGAGTTTTATGCTAACCAGTGAGACTGGAAATTTTCTTAAGTTATCCCAAAGAAACGCACCTGCCGACCACTGTATTCAGCTATGGTTTGTTATCTCAAGATCATGAGATGATTATCCCGTTATCACAGGAAAACAGAGTTATGAAAATATTTGAATGGATGGCCATTTAGTGCTTCCGTAGTAGATAACACCAACGAAGCTTGATACTACCCTTATGTCTGTCCAATATGAAGGTGGATCAAGCAGCTAGTTAGCTTAGCATAGCAGGAAGACGAGAAACAGTTGGAAACAGCTAGCCTGGCTCTGTCTGAAAGTAACTGACTAAATCCACCCACCAGCACACATAGAATTCACTAATTAACACGTCATCATGTTTGTTTCATCTGTACAACAACTAGTGTAAAAAAGACAATATGTTAAGCAACCAGCGGAGACTCCCAGAAGTCACTGCCCATGGCCAAGAAACATAACCTGATCATACACCCCATCATTTTTACGCTTTAGCAGGATACAATGTGTTAATTAATGAGCTTAAAGGTGCGTTTGATGCCTTTGGACAGAATCAAGCTAGTTTCCTCCGATTCTAGTCTCCTTACTAAGCTAAGCTAAGCAGCTGCTTTCTGTAGCTTTATATTTAACAGACAAATAAAGAGCAGTAGCAATCATATCATCTAAGTTTCTAGTTTCCAAAATGTTGAATTATTCCTTTAAAATAAAGACCTCCAAGGACTCCATCAAGTAGATTCATTCTCATTTTTACACGCCTTCTGCAGTGCTGCTTTACAGTGTGTTTAACAAATCCTGGCTGAGTAAAGGATGAATACAGGGTATGTGTGGGTTGTTACATAGTACAGTACAATGCCCATGTTTTTAAATATAGTAGTGTCTTCCATGTGTCCTTTGTTTAGCATAGGCATTGTTCATAGATTAAATGCTTTTGCCTACTCTGACACCATGTGCTGAGTAACCCTGTCCCATAATGACAGCAGCACAAACAAACACTTTGGACAGGTGTGGTCCAGGGGCATCATGGGTATTAATTGTGTGCAGTGATGCTTATAAATAACCCACCTGCTGTCAGTGCGCTTTATTCAAATAAGCTTCCTTCATTGTAATGCTAAGGCTTAGCATTTCACCGAATGACAAGCACAAAGAGCTATGCCTGTCTGACAGTGCTGCACCACATGACATACCCTGCAATTACACAACACAGAAACACTGCTTTTATTTCGGACTGTGCGCTATACTTTTTTTGATTCAAGAATTCAAGCTAGATAAAAAAAACAAATCACATAATTCTTCTTTGAATTTGATTTGACGCCACAGTCTCCATGGCAGCTGTTGCTGGGTGACACCAACAGGGTGTGGAAAGGGAGCCCATGATGGCCTGACATCTATCAGCAGGTGCTGTGAAAGGCTACATTTAAATTTTGCTCAACTGCTTGCCTCCCTCTTTCATCTGAGGGCTAAATTTGGCCCAAGCTGAAGCCTGACATGTCCTCATAGCTGCTGTGTGTGCTCTCTCGTGCCGGAGAATGGAAATCCCTCTCTGCCTCTTTCTACCCATTTCTACCTCTGGCCTCTCTTCCCCTTCCTGTCCCCTTGTCGGAACTACTACATATTCCTGCCACTCTTCCTCTCGCTAGTTCCCTGAAAAAAATCAAGACCTTTTGTAAGGGCCGGAGGCTGAGCGATGTTGCTGCAGCTGCTCTCTGAAAACCAGGAAGGATGCAGGAACTCACAATGCTGTCAGCTGTGTGCAGCTAGAAAAGCTCCTTTTTGAAAAATCATAAACCATCTTGTTTATCACTGATTGATACCGTACCAACAGTATGTAAATAACACTCTAGACTGGTTCAAGACCTCTGACCTCGCAGCAAAATGTCAAATTCTATCATCTGTTCAATGGTTCAAATTCAGATGTCTTATTATCAGTCTACTGTCTTAACAACCACCTATATGTTTTCCCCCTATGTTATTTCTTCATTCTCTCCACATTACTATCACCCTCTCCCTGATATTTTCTTACTTACCTGTCTTAACGTTTTATTTCTCTTCCCCCCCCCACCTTTTCTTCCCTCCTGTCTTCTTGTCTTTCAGTAATGGACCTGATCTACTGGAAGGACACGGAGCGAACAGGCATGGTGCTAACAGGGTTAGTGGTCGGCCTGCTGTCCCTGTTCCAGCTCAGCATCATCACTGTGGTCTCCACAGTCTCCCTGGCTGTCATGTGCTTTACCATCTCAGTGCGCATCTACTACCATGTCCTCTACATCCTCAGCTGGGGCGATGGAGAACACCCCTTCAAGTAAGATGCTATGCTAAGAAAGTGGTCAAGACAGGGAACGGTGACACAACACACAGGTGGATTCACTTCATTCAGTCACAGTGAATAAATGTTGATGTCACAAGTGTTCATTCAGCCAAAAGCCTTTCTGTTCCAATTTCAGTTTTCTTTCTTTGATTAAGCAGATTCACTCCATTTTAAAATTCACGTTTTGTTTACTGTGCTTACATCAAATAATAAAATATCTAATGGCTCTAATTGGTTATTAATTGGTGGGGTGTTTCTATTAGCATAGCTGTGGTTATGTGGAGGCTCAGGCAATAATTGTGAAAACAAGGCTTGTAGTAAACATGATGTGTCAGTGTTTGTGTCCTTGTATGCTAATATGTTAATGCAGGTCCCAATAATAAATAGCCAACTTAAATGCTGCATAAAATAAATTGATAAAGCCTGGTGGTGATTTCGCACATTGAAATGCTTGGACCTTTTGACCTCTGGACACTGACAGGAGTTACAGGAGGGGATTTATTTTTTAGCCAAAGAACATTAATCACTGTCGTTAAACATCATTATTTTGTAAACAGTAAAGCAAGGATGACTAGAGGACAGATAAAATAGTATAAATACTACACAGAGGCATAGGAATAAGTGTTTTTGTTTATCATCAATGTGCCTTCCTTTTTCTGCATCTCATGTCCTCTTTTTGTTTGTCTCATTTGCTCTCAGGTCATACTTGGACCTGGACATCAGTTTCAGTGGAGAGGAGGCTGACCTCTATATGCAGAAAGCAATCGTCATGGTTCTGTCTGCTGTTGACACTCTGAAAGGACTCTTTTTTGTGGGAAACCTCTTTGAGTCCCTCAAGGTGAGCTGTGTGTGAGTGTGTGAGTGTGTGAGTGAGTGTGCAGGCTTCAGTCTCTTGTTAACTCTCTTTATGACCCATTCTTAAAGGTTCACTTCTCCCTGTCCAGAACCTCCCCCCCAATTAACCAAGACATCTGCAGTCTTTCATTGTGCTCCTCTGTCATCTTCCTCCCTCCATCACTGGAGATGACAGCATTGCCATGTCAACCATCTCTCTCATTATACTAGCTCAGAGCTGAAGACTCTGCTCCTAAATTAGGGCGATATCACTGACGGCAGCTGTCAGCCCCAATGACATATTTTTGGTAATCATGCAAGTCCCTTTGGAAAAAATCCTTTCAAATTTATTTTAATTGGTGCTAACAGCATAAAAAAGAGGCAGTCTGCCTCACATTTCTTATCTATGCTTTTTATCCAGCGTCTGGATGTTCATCTCTTGCTAGCAGAGCCAAAGCATGTTAATGTTTATCAAACCTAAAAAAAAAAAAAAAAGGTCAGAATCACATGTCATCACTCGTGTCTGTTGCAACAGCCTATATACATTCTACGCTTTTTACTTTGCATTGACAGGATGTACAGTGCTGAAATGACTTTAGGTTATTTCTCTGGACGCTAACTCATAAGGTACTGTAGTGAAGTAGCCTATGATGACATGGTGGATTTCTTCAATATTATAGCTCCGGTGGGAAATGGAGGCGGCTATTGATCATAGAATTTCTTGTTTCATCTCTGGCTCCTCATGCCAATGCATTGAAGTAGACAAACTATTTGATAATTATAAAATCACATTTTTCAGTTGATAGTGCAAACAGCCACTTGTGTGTTTATTACTAAATCAGGTCAGGTGCTCCTGAGCATTTACTGTAAATCCATACTATTCATCACTGTTAGAGTATAATAAGTAAACTTCACTGGTTTTATTGGAATACAATAGAAAATATTGTATTTGTGTCTTTATGAGCTGAGATGTCCATTTATATTATTACACATCCAATATCTGCAAAAAGTCCGTAAAGTTCATCCCAAATATAAGTATGGCATTTCAGTAATTAACAGCAGCAGTTTGTGACCAGACAGACTTAACACAGTAAATGTCGAATCAGTATGAGCTGACTCAGCCCCTAAACCCCGGGACCTCCCAGTCTCAACTCTGACCTGACCGGAATGTGACATGACACACAGAAGGAGGTACGGGGAGATGCCCGGGATCAGCTGAAATGTCTTTCCATCTGAGACATGGGTGTCCAATATCAGGACAACACTGGATTCCATGCACAGCACTGTGACTCTGTGAAATATATGGGGAAACACTGAGACCCATATTGGGATTCTCTTACTTTATGATCTATCTTTTCTTCGAGAAGAAAATTATATCATTATGGAACATTTTATTGAGTCACATGATAGAAATCCACAATATCATATAATACAGGGAATTATGCAGTACTGCAGCATGATTTACTGCTTTCTAAAAGAATTAAATTAAAAGTACACAGATTGCAATCATCATTGATGGTAGTTACACACTCTCTTTCTCTTGGTCTTAGCTCCTCGTCCTGATGTACCTTGTGACGTACCTGGGAGACCTGTGCAATGGCCTTACTCTGTTCATCATCAGTAAGAAACAAATATTACTGCTGGAAATATGAAATCTATTAATTAACTGTATGGCTGTCACATTAACTACTCTACTTTTCCGGCTTCTTTCTTCTCCAGGTGTGATCGCTCTCTTTTCTCTGCCACTTTTCTACAGACAACGCCAGGTAATAACTGTTTTAATTCATTCTTCATACTGTCACTTTAACTCATCCTTTATTTCTATATCCATAAACATATGTTTTTGTGTATTTGTTATTTCTCAGGAGCGGGTGGACAGCTTCATTGCAAAAATCCAGGCCCGCATTGACAGTGTCAAGGACACGTGAGTATGGCGCCATCTTCTGGCACAACATTGCCATCAACATATGTCTACAGGTATTTTCCTACTGTGCTCAGCTGACGTTAAGTGTCTGTCTCAAACCCCCACACTTGTGTCACGTATTTTCTGGTAGCTGCCATACAGTGTCCAAGTGCCCATTTAGGAATGAAAGCCTGTGTTCAGTAATCAGTCTCATCATGAAGGACACATATTTGAGACACTAAAGCACATATTTGTATTTGGTAAATTGTAAGTTACCACATGTTACATATGTTCTGATTATTGAAGTTCTGACAAATGTATGTTTTGAATTATTTATTAAAGGCGTGCCATGGTTATGCTCCTATTTGCTATTATTATTTCTAGTGCTAGAATACAGGGACATACATTTTTATTAATTACAGCAGGTGATAGTGTTGTAAGGCTGTTTTTAGTGTACATGTGTAAAGACGTTTAGACACAATGTACTGCCAGTAAGATGTAAATTTGGATCAAAACAAAAGTTTCACTGTGGTAGCTGGTGATAATCTTGTAACAGTGTTAATAGAACATCAAGTCAGTAATGGACCAGACTGAGATGTAATTGTTTGGATAGTATTTATCTGCCCTGGTATAATGATCTATCCCTTCAAATTCACTCACCTCATTCACTGTTTCCCCTGCTTCCTGGGCTACTTCACAAGAAAGTTGGATTTAATTAGATAGAACCAGAGTCAAAACTAAAGAGCTTTACAGACTAAGTGTTCTTGAAACATGCTATAACAGCTGCAAGCGGTATTAAGAAAAGTATGCATCAAGTGTGAGCCCAAGTAGCCTACTAAATACTCTTGTATTTCTCTTTCACAGCTTTCAAAGACTCGCCCAAGGGGGTGGCCCTCCTCCTGACCCAACTCCCGGTGGCGCCAAACCCAAGACCCAGTAAACACTGATGGACAAGAACTTAAAGAAAAGCTCCCAGAGTTACAGGCTGCCACTTAGATGTCTTACCCAGCTGTCTGTGCTCAGAGCTCCAGAGACTGGGGAAGGGAAGGGAGGTTACTTAAACAGACAATGATGATGATCACGCATGGTACTTTATACTCTACCTGTATCTAAGTTATGGGGTTAGAGGTTCAGGGTTTGGGTTTAAATTTAATCAAGATGTATGAATCCTGGATGAGACACTTGCATGTGACCATCCTTGGAAAACATTTTTTTTAATGTCTTAGGTGGTTTAGAGCTGTCGTCCAAATGAGGTACCAAGACCAGAAATGGGAAGTTCCCACACCAACTGCTAGAAGCCAGTTGTGAAGGTGATTTAAGTGAGGGGACAAAATCTGGGGTCATCATTATTCATGGCAGCATAAAACTATTAAGGATGCATGTGTCAGCACATGTACTTTTCTGAATGCATATTCATTCTCATGACAGTTTGTGTGTGAATGCAAGTATGATTGTGTGTGTGTGTGTGTGTGTGTTTGTGTGTGTATGTGTGTAATTCCTGTCGTACAGCTTGCTGAAATGAAACCTAAAAGCAATTAAAGTCACATTTCTTCTTTATTTTTCCAATCCTTTTGTTTCTTCTCCACACACATCCAGACATTCACTTTCATTCACACAAATCATTCGAGTTTTTGTTTTTCCTTGCCATGTTTTCTCTTGTTACTTCATTGCTTACACCACTGGGTGCTGCTTTACCCCATTCATTGATGTAAGTGGGAAGTTGAAACATAATATTCAGAGAGATAGATTCTCCTGCTACATGTTCAATAATTAAGATGTATCATCAAAGGGAATGAAATCACTTGACAGGAAGTTTCCCATTGACGGAGCATCAGATGTACTTAAGGTGTCGGTGTTCATTTTAAGATTGGACGGATTAATGAAACAAAAAGTGCTTTCAGGTAGATATCCTCTCTGAACTCTTAATGTGATGTGAAGGAATGTGGGAGTGTAATACAGCAGGTGCCTTTCTAACTGCAGGTTATAGTGCATGATCTGACAGCAACCTCCCCTCCCATAACAAACCACTTCTCATTACCTGATCATTGCCTTCCTGAGAATGGTGTTTTTGTACGTGTACAATACTTGTGTAATTGTACATGTGTGCCATGACAAGGTATCTTATACAGAATTGTAATTAGATCAATTTTAGGAATAATAAAATTATTCAGGATACTCTGCAGCTCAAGTCCACATTTCCCTTTAGTGCTTGCATTGAAAGCTCTCACCAAATGTGTCTGTGCCTATGCCTTATTGTTGCACCATTTATCTGTGTGCTGCAGTGGAAGCATCGTTATATTAACAGACATGATCCATGACCCAAACATGGTGGCCTGTTAGCCTTAGACATCATGCGCTGCTTAGTATTGGACCTACAGTAGTTGCACACACACTGGCCTCCTGTAGCAGTATTCTGTACTAATACAAATAAAGCTTTTGTCTTGAACTTCAGCAAAGAATAGAGGTGGCAGTGAAAGGCACTAATTTTCTTATCTATCCACACAGCTTAGCTTATACATAAAGGTTCATTCACTGAGACCTTTCCTGTCAAACTATATTTAAACAAAACTGATGTTAATGTATTTCAAATCATTTTCATAGAACTGTCACACTAAGTCTAAACTACCAGATGCTTTGGTTTTTATATTTGCCGTGTGGATTAAAGATAAATTCCGGCCGAACAGGAAAGTCACTTTTAGTTCATCTAAAATCAGTCAGAATACACACATAATGGTAGTGTACTCATTGTTTTGTATTCTTGAAAATAAGTTTTAAGTTTCAATCTAGTAAAAAAATAAACACTGACAATAAGAAAGAAGAGTACAGTGTGACTTTTTCAGATGCATATAAGACTGGACAGAAACTGTACATTAGCCATAGTTGTGTTGCAGGTTATGGATGTTTCTTGGTACCCTGTTTGTTTCTGGTCAAGGGTTTCCATGTCCATCTTACCTGCATGGGCACATCTATTTTGAAAGGTTAAGACGTTGCATATGCCTTTATAGGTGGAAGTACATTTACTAAGGAGTGTTTTCTTTTCATGTTGCTGGAAATCTTGTACTTTTTACTCCATTACATTTATTTGACAACTTTAGTTATTAGTTTGTAGATTAAGTGTTACCTAAGATTGTTATATATAAAACATATGAAGATCTTATAAACTCTGTTATAAAGTGAATACTGTACCTAACAATATACACAAGTAAAGCTGAAATGATTAGTTGGTTTGTGGTTAACTATTTTGATAATCATTTGTCAGTTTTCCAAAAATATTTCATGGTTCCAACTTCTCAAATGTGAGGATTTATATTTATTTTAATAATTTCAATGTATTTTTAATAATGTTGAGATTTAAACAAAATTGTGTGAAATTCTACAAACCAAACAATCAAATAGCTTGCACGAAGAAAATAATCAGGAGATTGATCCATAGGGAAAATAATTATAGTATATAACATAAAATAGTAAAAACAATCAACTCCACCACAAGCAACTACTACAGTAACATGCTGCTTACGCATTAATGCATGATGATAATAATCTAACGATATGGTATGGTCAGTAAGGAGACATTTTTCTGCTACCGCACTGAACCACAAGGAGGCGACAAAACATTATTTATACATCATTTTTCCAGTGTCTGACAGGTTGGGACTAGGAAACAAGATAACATCAGCCACTGGCCAGTTTGAAAAACTATCCAATGGCAGGGAAGGTTACTTTTGAACGTGTCCATTTGTTATTCTGTAACGTTACATTCTCCAGTAGCTACAGTCCTTGGCCACTGGCTGCTCCTTCTAGGCTCAGCTGCCTACAAGTTAAAGTAGGTCAAGAGAGTCTGGGTGGGTTTGAAATTTCAGAATCTTTATGTGTGTTTAAAATGGACATCAAGCTTGTCCCTTTCTCACTGTTGAGGACAAGTCTGGACTTGCCTAGAATATGACAGTTGGTTGTGCTGTGTAGTAGGCTATAGATTAACTGGTTAAAAGGAAAAAAATTATTATGCAAAAGAAATAAAAATGTGGATGACTTTCTATTCTATTGTAATTCCCCCAAAAGAATCCAGTACGAGTAATTTTCTAGATACTTTATATTTTCCAAAAGAATAATAAAAAAATCATACAAACTTCTTCGTGTCTGTTCAGCCCCCCGCTACTGGGAGGTGAAGTGGGTGGGATTAGTCAAATCAGTCTGAAGATATAATGCGTTGGACCCGCCCTCTCGTTGTAAACTGCAGAAAGTCTGTAGTCCTGATGGTGATCTGTCACAGTGGATTTGGCAGCGCGCAGGAGAAGAGGAGAGGTTTTACGCACGAGTCCCGCTCGTGGTCATAAGCATCTGGAAAAGTTGTACTAGAGGAGGAACCCTGTTCTCATGGTGGGTCCTCCATCGCGGCGAAGTGCTGGCTGATTGAATGTCACCTCCAGTCATCATGGAACACGGACGGACCATGGCCCCTCCGGTGCCCCCGCACAAACCCGCACCCAACCGGCCAGGGCAGGCGCAGGAGCGGCTGCTGAAGTGCATCCTTCTCGGCGACGGAGCGGTGGGCAAAACCAGCCTGGTGGTCAGCTACACAACGAATGGCTACCCAACCAAATATGTGCCTACTGCATTTGATGACTTCTCAGGTAAGCAAAAGAAAGAAATCGTTATTTTAGATTGTTTGCAATTTGGTTAATGCTGGAATAGTCTAAAATAGACTAATAGTAGTGTATGTACAAGGAACATTTTTCCTACATCAGGGGTTTTCTTGATTTGCAAAGAAAATATTTAAGTGTATAAGTCTTGTGCAAATTATGTGCAAGTGTATTGACACTAGGGTAAATTCTGGTGAATGAAACTAGTGATTTTTATCGTCTTAGAAGTTAGCCCATTTTTCTGTACCTGCCAGTCAGATTATCTCAGCAATTGTCACTGACCTCTTCTTCAACCTTGCATGTTTTGAGACTACCTGCCCATTCTGCTAAACCCTATTATTCCATTGTTATGATAGATGTGTTTGTGTTTCCTGTTATCTGTCTTCCATCAGTGTTAATGCACATGCGTTCTCCTCCCTGATGTAGCCTGGTTTCCATTTGGCAGGGTTCCACTTTCCAAACTGTCTTGCTAGTCCCAGCAAGCTTTGTTTACTGCAAAATAACAGGAGAGGGGGAACAATTCTTCAAAGGGGAAAGTTGTTTTAAACTGATCAGTGTTAGCATGAAAAATATACCTGTGACCTGTTGATCCCCATTATTGCTTAATGATCACATCTTCAGACTTTTCTTAAAAACCTTACACTGCTATATGATCAGCTGTTAATTTCACTGATAAATCTGATATGAAAAATATACAATAACACATTTGTATACTTATTTAGAATTAAGGAATGAATACTCTGCAATGTTTCCTGTATACTGACTTGTAAATTTAAGCATTTGTCATTAATCTTAGTACATTTTTGACATTACACTGATGAGTAGTAAAACTAACAACTTGGCCAACACAAATCTCATAAAACACTCACTGAGAACACACACCGCCCTCAGACGATTGCTGGCTCAACCCTCTAATGCAGAATAGAGAGCGTCTCTGGTTCAGGGGTTTTGGATTGCACAACTCTGCCTATTGTTGTCGGCCTTGACCCGCGAGCCCTCTCCTCTATACTGGAATGGGCACATCTGTTGCAGTGGCTCAGAGGCAGAGATTGTCTTTCACCTCGGCCTGACAGAGAGTGATTGTGCAGTTGGGGCCCTTAATGGTGATGTCATTTCTTGGTGCCCAGAATCACAGTGTCTTCTTGAAAAGCTGACTTCTGAGCAGTTACGCAATGCCACAGGTGGCAGAGACACAGAGGAGTGGGAGGTGGGGGGGGGGGGGGGACAATAAGAGGGAGTTTTGGACCAGAAAATCAAAGGAGTATCATATGTCAGGGATTAGAAAATGATTACACAATGGCCGCTCTCTCTCCCGCTGTCTCTCACTCCTTATTTTCTCTCCTCCCGCTCTTTTTCCATGCATTTGTAAAAGCAGGGTGCTATATGCCTGTCTCACTTCACTACTTGAATAGTCCCAGCAAAGTCTTTGATCAGGTGGTATGACTGACCACACACTCCAGGCGTATTGTAAATGTTCCCATATGCCTGCTGCTTTGCATTGTGCTCAGTCTTCTGAAAAGAATAAATGGCCCTATAATGAAACTCGTTGTAAGATGACTCATCCACTTTTCCAATCTGGAAATGAGGCCAATTGGAAGAGAGTCACTGAACGACCATAATCTGTTTTGTTTTTAAACCCCCTATTAGACAACCTTGGAATGGCCTCTGTCAAACGCAGCAGAGAACAAAGCTCACAGAGTGGTCTGAGCAATAGTAAAGTGTTATGGCCTCAACAGTAACTGGCAGAGTGGGTGGGCGAGACCGAGCAAGGCTGTCTTTGTGCTGGAAGAGCTGAGCAGGGGGTCTTTGTGTTTTCAACTGGCAGGCTTTTGTTTATTCCACAGAATATTCTGGTGGGCAGTTGTGTGTGTGTGTGTGTGTGTGTGTGTGTGTGTGTGTGTGTGTGTGTGTGTGTGTGTTAACTTAAGTGTCAGGTGGGGCCTTTTATAGGCTTACAGTCATGTTGACAGCTGTGACTTATTTTCTCTGTCTGTCTGTTTGTCCACAGCTGTGGTTCAGGTGGATGGAAACCCGGTTAGACTACAGTTGTGTGACACTGCAGGACAGGTGAGTTGTTTTTTTTTACACACCAACACATATTGTGTCACCCTTTGACACCCACCGAGATCACAGCGTATGCCCCTGCATGCCTCTAAACCCTTTGGTACACATAAAAGTCACATTTTAGCCATGTCACTGGCAGAGCTAAAATTTCATAGGTCAATCCACTACTTTGGTCCTTACTGAAATATCCCAACTATTTAATGGGTTGCCATGAAATTTTGTGCAGACATTTACGGTCCCCACAGGAGGAAGCCGGATGACTTCGGTGATCGCCTGATTTTTCATCTAGCAGTGCCATAAGGTTTACATTTTTAGATTTGTCTTCATGTCTATTGGATGGATTGTTTTGAAATTTGGTACAAATATCCGTGGTTCCTGCAGGATGAATTGTAATAACTCTGGTGATCCCTTAACCTTCCTCAGAGCTGCTAGCATGGCTTCTTCTTGTTACATTATCATTTATGCCTTTTTTTAAGCATCCATGCCAAACATTTGCTCCTTCCAGCTTCTCACATTTGAGGATTTGTTGCTTTTCTTGTTTGTTTGTTTTTCTGTGTATGTAAACCAAGCACCTTTAAATTTGAAACTGTTGGTCTGATAGTGAGCCATTTGAGTCACACACCTTGGGTTCTAGCACTTTTTGAGGGCCCTTCTCACTATTTCTGGACATTTAATAGAATAAACAAATTATTGATTAATTGATGGTAAAAATAGTCATTAGTTATAGACTATAATTAGTGGTGCACCTGTGTTGCCTTTACTTTCTGCTTTTCATTCTCCAACCGGACCACCTGCCTGCTATTGCAGGAATCTCGTGTGTATAGCTAGGCTTTGCTGTCAATCTTCATCTGGAATGGGAACAACACTGCTACATAAGAAAGTTAGAGACAGGGTGCTGAAGGAACGGCAAAAGCCTGTAGGTCACACTGGAGGTGACGGTGCAAACCCCCCCCAAAACAATCTCTTTTTCTCAAGGACACTGTTACAGGGAGCTTGTCAGGAAAAAGTTATTGACTCATTATTATGTTGGTACTGTAGGGCAATCTTGTGAAGGAACAGGTTGTGAAAGAGTGTTTTCATTTCTCTGAGGCATGTGTGGTTGTTTCATAATCCAACTCAATAAAACCCTGCCCTGGGAGCAGTGTATTTGACATTCACAAACTTTGCGAGGGTACTGCCAGTTCTACAGAGAAACAAAGACAACTTGGCTGTAAAATGGAACAAGGCATTTGAACAAGCCCCTAATACACGTAAACCCTCACAGCATGTTGCAAGCTGCACACAGTGTTAAAACTGCACATGTGCACACAGACGCACACAAGCAGACAAGCTTGGGCAAATACGGGCAGATAGAAGTCGGTTAACACTTACTCACTATACTTAATGCAATTTCATAAGAGGGGAGTTGGTGCCAGAACGCTAAATAGAAAAAATGTAAGAAATAGGTTGCGATATGCCTGAAAAAGATGACAGAGAGAGAGAACAGTAGAAAGTGAGTGAGAGAGAGAGCTAAGACAGAAATGGTGTAGAGAAAAATGATCACAGCTGCCGCCAAAGCTGATAAACAAAGTTGCTCCTTGCTCCTTGCTAGACCTACGTCACCAGATTGCAGAGCGCAGCCACAGCTTGTGTGGGAAATTCACAAGATAATAAGTGTCCACTGTGTTTATTGAGCTTCAAATGTAGATTTGAAAATGTTAGATTTCAAAATCAGAAGGAGTTGACATAGGGTGTTGTTTAGGCAAAGGGGGATTAGGAGAAGTGTGCTGGAAAGGAGAGGGTTAAGAGAAAGAAAGAGAGGTTTGTGTTAAGTTTCTTCCAACCTTAATCTGTGTACTCAGGGGTGTGGGAGGCCCTTGTTAGTCAAAGCTGTGTGGCTCCGAAGTGTTAATTTAAGAGATTTACTGTAGATGATATAAATGAGTGGGCAGGGCTTGTGTATACTGTATATTAGCGCAATATAAACACTATTTAAAGAGGTTTTTTTTATTGAATGGCTATTGGCAAAATTCTCTTTCCTGTGATCTTACAGCAATGTTGTGTGTGTTACTGAAAGTGCGTTCGTGTGTGGTCAGTCTGGATGAGAAGTGAAGGGTAATAATTCATCACAAACTGTAGATGTAGAGCTAAACAGAAAAATGTTAAGATTAATCTGCTTGATATTTAGGAACCATGGTCATCACCATATTGCTAACTATCTCTGTTTCTGTCTCCATCAGGATGAGTTCGACAAACTCCGCCACTTCTGCTACAGTCGGACTGATGCCTTGCTGCTCTGCTTCAGTGTGGTCAGCCCTGCGTCCTTCCAAAATGTCTGGGAGAAGTGGGTCCCCGAAATCCGCCGTCGCTGCCCTCTCACGCCCATCCTCCTCGTAGGCACGCAGTGCGACCTGCGGCAGGATGTCAAAGTGCTGATCGAGCTGGCGAGGCGACGGGAGAGGCCCGTGCTGGAGGAAGATGCCAGAGCGCTGTCGGAAAAAATTGGGGCAGTGACGTACATTGAGTGCTCGGCGCTGACACAAAAGAATCTGAAGGAGGTGTTTGATGCGGCCATTGCTGTGGGGCTGCGGCACTCTGACAGGAGAGCAAGGCGGGAGAGGAAGGTCCGCAGCACAGCCGATAAGATGAAGATGCTCTCCAAGTCCTGGTGGAAGAAGTATGTGTGTGTCCAGTAGGGGAGGGAGGAGAAGATATCCCTTTGACTGATAAAACTGGAACTGCTTACTTATTGGTGGGGACTGAGTTGGATGTAAGGACTATTTTTACATTCACAATCCAAGATATTGTGGCCAGAATGACTTTAAATGAGTGGAGCACAGAGGCAGAGTGTGCCAGGTTTTGGATATTTTCAGTTTGACCAGTAAAGATCCCTTTGTTGATGCCTAAACGACAGAGAGCAGAAGGCTATAACCACTGTCTACTCCTCAGAGCCGTCTGAACTGTTAAATAAGACTGTGACCAGCATTCAACCAAACATTATGGAGCTAATAAAGTATTTTTGGCACATGGACTGCATGTCATACTGCATGTGCGCAAAAGAAATGTGAGCTGTGAGGTGTTCAGACGGTGATGTTGCGTACTAAAAGTATAGTCCTCTTATGTGTCTGATTTGATAACCGTCTTTAACAAAGTATAACATTTTATGTGCTACACTGTAATTCAGCCCTCCACTTTTGATAGATCCTTTTTATTTCACTGAAATCAGAACATGGAGTTAATATACTTAAATCCCCAAACAAAGATACAGTAATTCTTCTGTTGACAGTGAAACCTTGCACCTTGTTTCCTAAATCAGAAGCATCTACAACTCCCAGCAACAACTTGTTAAGAGTCAGATGTGTAAATGATCACATTTGTTTTAACTCATTCTCTTTTGGATTACAATCAAATGTAAATGAGTATGAATATTTTTTAAATCTGTGACTTCTAGGGGATGTTGAGTTGTGGTTTGAAGATGTTGTAGTCAAGCCATTTCAGTTCTGTCTAACTGCGAGCTTGTGGAGGGATTACTCTACACCAGCTTGAGTATGTGCCACATTTTGAAGTGTTGATACAGCTGTCGCACTGTTAGTTGACCACACAGTTAGAGGTCTGTAAGATCTTCACCAATGCACGCCTACTAACATTAACAGAGTAAACCAAATGCCTGTTGATGCCGATTGCCCAGCACATGCCTGCTGTAGGTTTTTGTAGGTTAAGAAGTTTCAGTTGTTCACTTTGACTGAAAAGCTTTAACTGAAGGGTTACACTTGTGTAACTTCACTGTTACAAGGTTGCAGCAATAAGTTGGGAGGTGCCACTGTACATTGCACTTAACACACACAGTCTGTCCACATCACTGAAGTCTTGCCTTGCAATGGCCTTTGGACCAGTGGTGTGAATTAGATATAGAGCAGTGCTTGAGATGTAGGTTTACTGAACAGAAGTTGCTCATCTGCATGTTCCCTGCATTACGCACTGGTTTGGATGATCACTTTCTTTGTCATTGTAGTCAGGGCCTTAAACAGATCATTATCCGCCTGTGTCTAGTATATTGGAGCTCTCTCCTCTTTTAAAATGATACAGTAAATTCGGTGAAATCACCAGAGAGACTGATTCTATGTTTGCTTCTTATTTTTCAGAAGCCTGTCATTCAGCTCTGTCTATTTGTCTGTTCCCTCTGGGCCAATAACTGATCAACAGCAATACAGAGCAGATGTATGAGATATTGTATGTCATTATGTATGTTACATAGTAATCATTTATGATGTTTGTAATGTCATCAGGATAAATCTGTGTGTGCATATATAAGTGACTCAGTCATTGGCTGTGCTGTCCAACTCTAAATGGTACTTAACAGTATGAGTGTTTCAGTTGGTATCTGTTTTTTGTTAGTTTTTTTGCATGAAAGCAGTTTGTTGAGCTGTACGAGCGGAACAAAATAAAATGTGAAATATTTAACCTGTTTCCGTTGTTGACTGTTCCACGGAGATATGTTATCTTGACTGTCACACTGTGGAGAAAATTATGTGATAACAGTGGAGGAGTGTTTCCTTGCTTTCTGAGGTGAATGGTTATTAGAGTATAAACAGGTGTTTTGACAAATGTGCTCCAGTAAATCATTTGCAATATGGAAAATTGCCAAAATGAACGAAGGGCCTGGTCTCAACACAGAGGTAGAAAAACTTTGAGTATAAAAATGCACTATTGTACTATACACATTCATTATATAGTGTACTTTAGTTTACTTAACATTATGAGAAAGAGGACATTACATCACACAACTAAAAAAATCAAGGATGGCCAAGAAGTATTTCCACTGTGGTCCTTGTTAAAGATAAAATATTCACTATATAGTCCACTTTATGGCATGCTAGCTATTTTTGTTGTCTGAATGACTATTAAGAATTAATACCATCATGTATTCCTAAGACACTGCTGGATGAAATGACCTGAGTAGTTTTGCCTTGTAATTCACAGTCCATAAATATAAAATTTCCTATATATGAATAGTGAAAGTAAACTATTTGATATACAGCCTGAAATTAACTAATAGCTATATTTTTACAAGGTTGGGAAAGAGTTAAATGTGACTTCAAAGATTTAGCCTCAGAGGTTTTGTCGGCACCAAGACTTCTAACTATGCAGGATCAGATGATTATAATGGCCTGAAATAGGCTTTTCCTCCTATTCATAGCTACGTGTCTACACCACAGTATACAACAATGGACAGAGGATAACAGTTAGCTGGGTATCTTGTACTTGTTTAGAAGTGCTAATGATAGGGTAGGCAGCTAAAAGAGAGTTTGTGTCGTCTGGTAGACTGCAGATGAGTATGTCTCTGGCCTAAGAGTGGGTGAAACTAAGGTAGATGCGGTGCAAAGTGGTCTAATTACGATAGTCAAGATGGCTCCACTTTCCACCGATATTTTAGCAGGAAACCCCATTGTTGTGTCCTAGCAAAGCAGCCATCTTGTGAAACGTCCCGTGATTTAGCATTGTGGCTTGTGTGTTTGACTGTAATACCTACTTTCTGCTAGAAGTACAGGTTACAGGTACTGGTAGGAATCTTGAGCTGTCAATCATGAAAGTAACTGACAGGAAACATATCAGGGATGAGGTCTACATATCTCTTAAATTTCACAGAGAGCTTGTTTGACAGTCCATGTGCAAATGTGTCTCCACTAATTTTGACTGCTCTGCTAAATCCAAACACAGAAACTGTCCCTGAGGTAGAAAAGTGAATAAATACTCTAGCTTACTTTATAAAACAAGAAAGCTCAGAGTTAAGCAAACATATGTGAGGGTATTTGTGTAACCATATGTAAACGTGAGCCAACATCACCAAATACTTGAAGGCAATGGAACTCATGTGGAACTGACAAAATATTATCATTTAGGGGTAATCCAACTGTATGCTTGGAGCCATTTTATGGTCACGTTCATGGAGGCAAACCAACGTTTAAATAACCTCTGTGGCTCGATCAGATGGCTTCCAACTTGGCAGATAATGGGTTCAGTCCAATAGAGCTGTTCAGTTTCTCTCCAAGTGGAGCTGGAGCACTATCATCTGTTGTTAGTTTGAAGAAGTGGACAGCTGCTGATGGGAACAGGGCCATAGCCAGGACTGTAGAAATACTGAGGTCATGAGTCCTAATTCCTCAAGCACAACCCCACCCACCTAAGAAAGGTTTTGACAAGCTACCAACCGACAAACTTTTTAAAAAAAAAGCTTTGTTTCCAAACATTTTTCAAAGCATTCTCTACGCTGCCCGTTAGTGAATTATTATTATTATGGTGGGGAATACTAATGTTTTTGCCAAAAAAAAAGTCAAATATTATAGTCAACATTTTGGTAAATATGATTATTTGTTGTCTTGCTGAGAATTATATTCAAGATTCAAGAATTGTATTGTCATGGTGCAAGCAAAACAAAATTGCAGTTGCATCATGTTTAAGACTTCATACACGATTGCGCACAATTAGAGAAGAAGATCAGTACTATTTTCTTATTTGTTCATTTAACATGAAGCTTGAACCAGTAGCCTGCTTAGCTTAGCATAAATATTGTGAATTGGGGGAAACAGTTAGCCTAACCTCATCTATCTTGGCTTCCTTCAAAAATGCTAAATATTCCTTTAAGACAAATACTATATCAGAATCAGCCTAAAATAAAACCACCTCGTAAACTATTCTTCATGTCATCAAACCTCCCAAATTCCCAGAAATGGTAGTGAAGTGTTAGTGGTATCTATTTTCCCTGGATGGAAACTGTTAGATATCCCTTTGAAATTAATGTTGGGTGAGATAAGGGTGTGAAATGGGTGGCCCAGTCAGCTTCAGCCTACTTCAGCTGTAAAAACTCAGCTGTAAAAATGGTCGTTGAACTTTTCAGTCCTGTTACATAACTTCTGAGAATCATTTAGGTAACAACTGAACTCTGACTCCACATGAAAGAGCAGCTCTGTAATCAGTTTTGATGTCTTAAAGTTGGTGAAGGATTTCTATAGCACCCCTCAGATAATTGCCAGCATAATGACTGGAGCTCAACCCATGGGACGGGATTACTGAGGGACATTAACAATGTCGATCAGGTCTGTGTGGTGGGAAGGGATCCAACCAGTAGACTGTGGTCCACTTTGTACATTGTCTTTAGGATTAGCTGTTGCCCAAGCTCTTGTAATGCGATGCAATATGTCTGGGGCCCTGATTAAAAGACACCCACACATAGACTTAACCAAAGATTGAGTACAGTTCATTATTCTTGACAGAAATCTGATTTCAAAGTATGTTTAAGGCCTCAGTCTCTTTCTTGTAAGTTACTTCAGTGTTTAGTTCCCATGTTCTCATATGTTCACAGGACTATAAGCGTTAAGTGCTGGTTCTCTACAGTATGTGACTATGACACAAAGGTTTACTCAGGTGATAATGGGTTCACTGTTATTGAATTATATGTCTTTTAATCTGGCCTTCTAGCAACCTCACTTGGTGGCCACACCAGCTCCTCCTGTACTGTTGATGGTCCGGCTGACACCTGCTCCTCCTGAACTGCAGCAACTTCCTGTTCCTGCTGAGCTGCTCCTATTCCTGCTGAGCGGCAGCAATCACCAGTCCCGGCGCTCTGCTGAACCTGTGCTGCCCCTGTTCCCTGGAGGTACAACTATTTTTCCATGAGCCTCCCTGAGTAACTGGGGAAAGAGCTTGACCCTCTCTCCACCATAAATAACCATGTACTCTGTGAGAATTGCAATGAAAGATTAACATGGAATTTCGCTTTCTCTTAATTAGTAGGAGGTGATCAGAATGCTGTGCATAGTATGCAATAAGATTTAGGCAAGGGTGCAAGATTCCAAGTTTAAAACACATATTTTGTCAAGAAAAAACATCTTTAAATTAAATACAAATGCACCCATTTAAAGTTGTATGTCTCTCTCTTATTGACAAAATAAAAAACACAGAAGTCCCTCCCCAGTGCTTTAAAAACATTTTATGTGCCCGTGTGCAACAGCATTGCCATGTTACCATGTGACACAGGTTTTTACTGTAGTACTGTGGTACTGCACTTTCCTTACCAAACCAATAAACAGTAAAAGGCACAGCAAACAGTGTAACAGTAATATAATATAAAGTAATATAAAGTGAAGTAGAAATAATCTGTAGATTGAACACAGAGGGAAAGAGGAAGTTTGCTTTAATCCCAAAAAAGGCAGTATCTGCAGAAAGTGAAGCTGATTTATATATTTATGAATACACATATTTTGTCTGAGCTCTCTCCTCAGACGAAAGCCACCAGCCTGTTTGCTAACACTGTTGGCTGCAGGAGTGGCCTGTCTGGCATGCTACAGTATGGCGTTGCTTGCGGGATTATGTTTTAATAAGCTTATATAAACACCCCCCACAGTGTGGTCTCATTATGGGAAGCTAATTAAGTCAGTCTGTCCCAGGGTCAGCAGGGCCTCTTTGAACAGCTCAGTGTTTTGCTATAAAGAGGCCCATCTTTGCCTCTAGAACATCTGCCCTGTGGTTTGTGGAACATGTGTCTTCTCTTCAGGCAAACTGTTTGGACATGCACATTTTAGTATCTTTTCGCTTGCACATGTACAGTGTATTTATGTACAGGTGCTTCAACTGTAGCCTCCAGGTTCATTTACATTTTAAGGATAACTATAAAAGTGTCTATAAACCACGATACCTTGTTGCTCAAGTTAATTCCTTTTTAATCAATTTTGCCATTTGTTACCCTGACATAGTTCTTTGTCCTTCTTTCACTCCAGTCTCCGACTCCTTGGTTTCCTAGAGCCTTGCTTGTCTTTTGGTCTGTTTTTATGTTTAATTCTCATTCTTATTTTCAGCAATGCTAGAGGCATTGCAATCTACGTTGATATTCCTCAACAACAATTTTGTTTGCAATTAATGTTGCTGGTCTCACAGGATGAATCCTGCTGACGTAGGTGCTGCTGATTTTTCCTCTAGCGCCACCATGAGGCTGACATTTTCAGTTTTTAGCAAAATGTCTCGACAACTATTGGATGGATTGCAATAAAATTTGATACAGATTTCCTTAGAAGATAAATGCTTCTGACTTTGGCTATCATTTGACATTTTAATGTAAATTTTTCACTTATACTGTTAAATTACTCCACATGCTTGAGATTGACTGGTATATTCATGGTCCCCAGAGGATAAATCATATAGATTTTGGTGATCACCTGATTTTTCCACTTGTGCCAATATGAAGTTGACGTTGAGGTTTTAAGTTAAATACAGTATCTCTACGACTATAGATACTGTATAACCTCAACCCAACCTGAACTGTACTTTGTGTTTAGTGGTACTTCGCAAATGTTAGCATGGTAACATGCTAAACTAAGATGGTGGACATGGTAATCCTTATGCTAAACATCAGCGTTTTAGCATTGTCATTGTGAGCTCATGCACCGTTCTGTATCGCTGTAAGTACA